GAAGAGAAAGATGAATATTTGATGATATTAATTCTGGACCATAATTCTCCTCAATTAACTTAGCCATTTTTATTAATCACCTATGTGCTTCATTTAGGTCACTTTGTTTGACTATTCGACTTATTAATAAATCACATGCACTAACAAAATTAAAGAGGATTTCTCTATCTTCAAGATTTAGCATATCCTACATGCAAGAAATAGCATAAACTTTATAGAAAATTCGCTATTGATCTGCAGTTAATCGGCTAAATCCTTCTGACTCTTGCACTATTTTTGATAGAACACAGCCTATATCTGCTGAAACTTTAGTACTTGACATGCGCTTTTCAATAATTTTAAGTTGTTCTTTGCTAAGTTTATTATTATTTAATAAACATTGCTTCATTATCCATTTTTCGATACCTAAGAATAGACAATGCATCAGGTTGACAACTATAAATTTAACTGGATCAAAATATTTTAGCTAATATAATTTCGACTATCTTACTCCCGTTTTAGATACATGATCATCTTTTTCCTGTTTATTTGTACAATTTAACCATTCTTTCGCTGCATTAAAATATTTTGTTATATCTACTGGATTAAACTATTTATCCATATTTTCAAAACCACTATAGTAACTTCTTTTAGATAAATTATCATATATTGCACATTTTAGACAGTGATGATATTTCACTGTATGACTTGCATTATCACAAATCTTTCTTGCAGCTGGAATATCATTTGATGATAGAATTAATGCGATATAAATTTTGCATCCTTTTTTATATTCAAATATTGCTAGTAAATCTATACTGAAAGCAAAATCAACTAACTCGTCGATGATTGAAGCAAGATAATTATTGATTTAATATTTACTTGGTTTATTTAAACCAGGAATAATACCTAAAGTTAATATATTGTTTGGTTTAAATCATTCTTCCCTTAGAAAATTTCACAATACTCCATAAATTACTCCAGTACTATGAACTGTATAATCAAATAGTTGAAACCAATCTATATTAATTGCTAGGCCGATATGACTATCAAATATATCATTTGTAAAAAATAGTGTAGGATCTTCTAGATTTATAGCAAAATTTTTCTAAATATTTCTCTCATATATGTCAAAGAAAATTCCATTCAGAACATTTCAATTACTAGAATGCCGCAACATATTCTCAAAGTCAGCTCTCTGATATATCATATAGAGCTGTTGCTTTATACTTCCAACTAGATAAATTTTCAATAGTCATAATAAGATACCATTCATTGTTTTTAGCTTTACTGCTAATGGTTTATTGCATGCTAATCATTGTAATTTATTTCGATAATAGGGATATTCTACATTTGTACACTTCATACTTTTTGGCTTATTGTTTTGAACATAGTCTTTAATTACTGATGGGTCATAGTGCTTATGATACTTCAGACATATAGTATACTTTCTATATTTGGTTAAAATCTCTAAAGATGATTTTGCAGTATACATAGAAGTTAGTAGCCTATCGGCTTCATTAATTTTAAAATACAAAAGTAAATGCCGAAGAAATTTAATTAATGATTCTGTACCAGTATCAGGAATATTGTAATGTTATTGATATTTTATTATCCATAAAGTAATCTAATTATTTGGACGATTGTTATTAATGTCAAATAGTTGTTCAAAAATTTTAGTATCGATTTCTGGTAGAATAAAGTTTACAAGATCATGACTTTCTTGTGAATCACTTGAAGATTCATTTGAAGAATTATTTGAAGAATTATTTGAAGAACTACTTGGA